GTCGTCAACATATCTGAACCAGTGGCTCGGTGGCACCCCTGAAAAGGACATCAAGGCTCTCTTTTCCACTTCCTCCATGTACACTGCAAACTTTGTTTGTTTGTCTGCTGTTTATATGTTTTATTAAGCAACATGGCAATGTGTTAATCTTATTTATAACACAACATATTTTGCCAAACAATGATGAAACACAAAATGTTTAAAAATAAGAACATTAACAAATTTACCCAATGAACAGGTGTAATTAAGATAACAACCAGCAGTGACTTTAGGGGGGCGTTTGATTTTTTTCTGATGTGATGACAGGCCCACTCAAACTGACATGACATCAGAGGACACAGAGATGGTGCCAGTGTGTGTGGCTCGCCTCCTGTCACTGCAAACTTTGTTTGTCTGCTGTTTATACGTTTTATTAAGCAACATGTCAACGCCTTACTTGTGTATAATCGCCACACACTTTTGGATTTGCAACATTATGCTAATGATGTGGCATATTGTGGACACGATGGGCAAAAAAACGTGCCCCCGTTTTTAACAAGGATCCCAGCTTGTTTACACTGTGACCCGGCTCCACCTCTGTGGAACAAACGCCGCCAGCGCCGCGGTAAACGCAGCGGATGGCTGGTGAAGATGAGGATGTGTTTGATGCACTTTACTGATGGTCCTCGGACCGTGCCGAAAGGGGTGCGTCACTATTTTTCACGGCGTTCCCTCCACCCTTTCGACACCTGGCTGGTACCTGTCGTCGGTCCGGATGAGGTGCTTCAGCGCCACGCCCCCTGCTCTCCTCGTCTCCGCTGCCGCGGGGTGAACCTGCACAATCTGTGGCCTCTTAGGGCCGGCTCCGCAAGGATCGGTCTGGTTAACGCCAGATCTCTAGCAGGGTTTCTCAAACTTTTTGGGTCTGGGGACCCTTTACAATGGCGAAAAAAAAAAATTCCAGGGACCCCCTCATAAACCTCATGCTGTTTTAAAAGATAATTTATTGTAATTTCAACCCCTAAATGCCATAGGAATACATATTTTTATTTAGTTTATTATGTTTGTTTTATTAGTTCATTGTGCCTCATGCAAGAACATGTT